CTGGACTGTATTTAAAGCTGAGCTCTGCCAGTGCTGCCTGCACATGCTATGAGCACATTGGGGCTCAGCTTGCTGCTGAGATGAGGGGAGGTCTGGGGATGGGTTTAGCGAGGCCGTAAGGCTGGGGTCAGGTGTATGGCACCTGAGGTGTCCCAGGATGGGGGTGTCCTCATGGCTATAGGGGCATTCATCTCCACATGGCTCTCCCTGGGGCTGTTGTTTTGCCTCATGGCTCTGTCAAGGTGGGGGGCACCCATTTCTCCATGGCTTTTTTTGGGAGGGGCACACATCTTCATCCATGGTGCACCCACTTCTTGGCATTTCCCATAGCTGTGGGTCTCTCCTGGTCCCCCTCCACACCGTGGTGCTACGTGGTGCCCAGCTGAGGACCAGCTCCTGCCTGCTCCCTTACCATTGTCCGCTCCCCACCACGCCCACGTCCGGGCCAGGGGGTCCCCCCTGCTCCCACATTTTCAGAGAGACCTGGGCTTGGGAGGGGCTCTTGTTTTCCTCACACTTTGTCCCTTTCCCCAGGAGAAAGCTGAGTCATGGCCCCCCAAAAGTGGAGGGCCCTAGGGGCTACTCTGCCACAGGCAGGCTTTGGGGACAGTGCTGAGTGGCTGTCCCCTACAAGTGAGGGTGGCAGGAGACAGTGATCCTGCACCTCTGACCTCCACCATCCCCATGCCATGCTGCTGGTGTGGTGCTGGTGATGATGGGGACACCCCCAGAGTGGACAGGACATGTCCCCTTGCCTATGGGATACATGGCGTTGCCTGGAATTGGTGACTTGTGGTGACTCAGTGGGCTCCCAAATCAGCCCAGGACAAGGTGCCCAGGGACACCCACCTTTGGGGACAGATGGGGGACGCTGCAGTACTGTGATGTTTGTCTCTCCCCCTCCATGAAATCCTGATCCTGACAAAGCAGTGAGGCAGTGCAAGAACAACCACTACTCCGTGCCAGTGGGATGCTGTGACAGGGACCATGAACCTGCATGGGCAGTGCTACCTCAGGAACCCCTTGCCGGGTGTCCTGTGCCACCACATCCATGGCTCATGCCAACATGACCCTTCCCCAGTGCTGCAGCACTGTCACCGTGCCCTGCTCCCGTCCCTATCCCCATCCCCAGGGCCCCCTGGGAGTGG